TGTTGCCACATTCAGAATCGACGGAAGAAACATAGAATCATACATGAACTACGCTGACGTTGCTAAGATATTGGGTCTTGCAAGAAATTTCTATGATTATTCAAGGTCAGCTGGTCCATCAATGATGTTTGCCAAAGATACCAATGATCATCCTGGGAGCCGTAACATAACACTAAACGCCGCTTGAACTGAAGTCATATCGATGAATGACGACTTTTGCTTAGGATTTAATGCACTATGAGCAATGTTAAAAGGTGGCTGTAAAGCATTTCCATGTGCAATTCCATTGTTCCATATTTGTGGATTTTGCAGAATTGTCAGAAAGATTATATTTGAAGCCAAGCGTAAGAAAAGCTACAAAGGCTGCTGAAATCTAACGCTCTGTTGGTGATGCTGGTAAAGTAATACTGACAAACTTCTCACTGTGGATGTCAACAATGACACCGTCGTTGACCGAAGAGTAACGATTGCTATCGTTTATGGATCAAGGTGGTAAGTCAACTTTGTGGAAGTTTACAATGGACACATGACCAATAATGGATTTTTGCATAGCAAATAACATCACAGCAAGGTGTCTCTGCCCCGCGACATGTATTAATTGCTTTTCAAAATAATAATTGAATAGAATCAAAATCACGCAGTGCAACGATATTTGACAACTTTGGTGTTATTGAAGTTTTATTACGGATAAACGGGCATCAAGAACCACCTGAGAAATACTTATTGAATTTTAGTTATAATCACGATGCACGTGCCTATCATCGTTTGCTGACATTCATGGGACGTGATCAAAATGTGGATTCTGTTCTACAAATATCACAGATGGATTTTACAAAGTCATATCCGATTTGAACATCTGGATTTGTTCAAACAAGCAGTCGTTGATATACACTTTCGAGCTGGAGTAAGTGAACCCTCCAGCTGTTGCTGGCTGTTATAGAGCAATTGCTGTTATGCTGTCTGACAAAACAATGTTGCTTGAACGTGTAGGTAGATGAATGAGAGCGGTTGATACCCCAGTGGAAGACGTGCAGTTTGTACACCAGTAATTACATCGGGATTGATATTTATTATAATGCTATATCATTCCGTGAATGCACATTCGATGCTTATTGCCTGTTGACACCAATTTCTGACAATCATACGTTTGTTAGTAATGGCTAAACAAGGTAATGATAATATCATTAACAAAACCGACTATGTATCATCATAGTCTTTCAAACGTTGACCTACTTCAATAAATGCTTCGGCGGGCAAGAATCATATACTTGTATCCTGAACTTACGAATAATATTGATAATCACGTATCGATTAATCTTTAAGGACTGGAGCGTCCTTGTCAGATGCAGGTCAGCTACACGCTTGAACATTTTTATCATTATTTCATGATCGTTTAACACGAATACCATACTGGATTAATCCATCACGAGTCAACCAACTTCCTGCTATTAGATTAGACATGCGCATATATTTTTCTCTTTCTCCGATTCTGATAATAGTACGGGTGTACCAGTTAATGAAGCGATTATATTATTTGCAGCTTGAATTATTGCTTTACTGAAATTGGCTGGCATCGCTTCAGTGCTTGGGAGAGTAACTGGCTGTGGTTTTCGTCTATGTATTAATCGTGCTAGTCGTTCCTTGATCACAGAAGATGCTTTACTAGCAACATCACCACAGTACTAATACATTTATCACGAACAACATCAATAGCTTCCATTCCTAGTTGCTTTACAATCGGTATCCTTCTGAAAAGACAATGAATAACATAACTGAGTCCATGTCCACAGATCGTTTTGTATACAGACAATCGTGAATTTATCACTTGGACCATAGCATGTCGACGTTGAATATTGTGCATAATTGTGTTATTTTCCTGTCAGTGATTTAATTGTGATCAATCACTGTAATAAGCGTCAGCGATTGCACCAATAAGTGATCGATAAACACTAATATCCATAGCACCACAAGTAAATAATCGTTGACAAATATCAGCTGCCTAATTCTGGAAAAATATTACCAGCTCGTCGTCCAACAATTAATATATCTAGTCAATCAACGTCGGCAAGGACGTTACAGGGGCATGGGATAACAAGACCCCTTCCATTGGTAGTGCTTGTACCAGGCATAGCAAAACCACCTGCGTCAATCAAAATCCGTATCATACCATTATTCAGGCGATGCTCCAAGCTGGGGAATATTTTTTTGAAGTTCTTTTACTTCTGCAGCTTCCGTCTTTGTTTCAGATCGAGTTTTATCTTTATCTTTCCTCGGTACTTCTCTTTGCTGTTTCATCGCACGAATCCTTTCTTCATGGCGTTGTTCTTCTTGCTTCTATAAGTGCTGGGCATGCACATATACGAAATCGCAAAATTCTTTAAAACCTGCATCGTCCTCTGCGTATGTCTTAAACCAGAATGAATGCGATACATATATTTATGCCAAATCCACCGCCTCACATCTCAAAAATACTCGGGTTTTACATATTTATCTTTTTTCGCAGTATCTAAACGCTGCAATATCGAGTACATGGGTTTTATCCTTGATAGTGGCAACTGTCGTCTCAATAAATTTTTCCATAACATCAATATCTTTAGTCTTCTTTTGTCTTTTTTTGGCGGAAATGACCCCGCTTCAGGTTGCAGTCAAGAAGGTATCTGGGGTCTGGTCCACCACGCAAGGGACGTCAAATAATGGTTCGAGGACGACGTGCAGAAAGTTCTATAACTTTTTGTGACGCCTCACTTGTCACAACGATTTTCTTTCTTGGTTCCACAGTCGGTTTCAATAATTGGGCGGCCAATTCTGCAAATCCCTCCCTTGCTTCTTGTCGTGCGTATTTGCTGTTTGACAGAATCACGGACATGTATATATTTATTAATCGCATCTAATAGCTGTTTGCCTAGTTGGGTTGTACGAGATTTCATACACAGTACAGACTCACTCATTGCTATGAATATTTACTTAATCAATTACAGACTGAACTTAATACTGCCTGTTCTCACAGTCAGTCAATTGGTTATCCAATGAAACGTACTCTGCGGGAAATATTTTTTATATACAGTACAAAGGCCACAGGTAAGCGACCGCATCGTTTAGCTTGCTTCCTAGCTGTACACAACATTTCGATTTAACTTACAGATGGAGAATTTGGGTTCCTCAGAGCAGCAGGGAGGGCAGGATGGCGTATGATTGTATCTGGGTCTCACTGGATAGTTTCGTGTTTTGACACCCCCTTTAATTTCTAAGGTAGAAGGCATGAGCCTGATTATCATAACCGTAGCATTCATAAATTCACACATAAGCTAAATCTGTAATGTGGTTTACATTTACTTTGAGTTAGGCTTGTAAATGGGTTGCATTGTTGGTGACTGCCTGTCACAGTTAGACTAGCACTGGAGATCAAATGCGTATCTTGGGCTGCAAATGTGCATCCGACTTGGTTTACATATTTACATGTCTGCTTCAGAGGTAAATATCTAAAAATCTACATGGTTGAGGGGCGATGAAAAGTATGTTAATTTGTACTAGTACTAGTGAACTTTCAAAATCAATAAGGTATGTACTAAGTCTGTTAGCCTGCTTCTCACAGGAACAGGTTGAAAATAGCTCTTTTCTGTCAAAAATGAATGTAAAAAAGAGGGGTTGGTGGTAGTATAGGTTCAGTCTCAAAACCACCAGTTGCATAAGAAATTAATCTTAATACCATAGTCAGAATCTTACAAGCATCATTTCAACAAAAATCATAAGTTAGTTTTTATTTGTATCTTTAGTGTAAAATTATAATCATTATTCTGCAATAGATCATTGATCCTTATTTTTTTTCTCAAATTTCCGAGTCCTAAATGGTTATAAAAATATCTTGTACGAATTTATTGCAGAAAGCACCACAATAAACTTTAAAAAAATAATTGTCTTCAGATAAAAGAAAATATCTAGGTTCGAAATAATACCCCCTCCCCGTCCCAAAAATGAAATGGCCAGAACATAATAGTAGATGAATTCGCTCTGCCTAGGCTAATCGTGATACAGTTTGTCATCTAAATAATATATTTGAAATGGGATGACTGAATCTGATTAAAATCAGATATCCTACTTGAACATCTGACAATGACCACTTCGGATTCATATTCTGGTGACTTGTGCTCTTCCTTTGTATTTCGGTATGGCTGAACGTCTTAATTCGCGTTGATATTTCAAAACATGACACCTAAGCGGTCGCTGTCAGATCTTTCACATAGGACAGCAGAGAAGGGGAGGGGATCAAACATGTAGGGGCTCTGCAGCCCAAGATCAAGTCGTGGCTATAAAACGTTTGACCTTTACTATGAGGTCAAAAGGATAAACAAGCATGTCGCAGAAACAATTGTCTTAGCTTCACAATGATAAAAATTCAAAGTATTATAAAAATTCAAAGTATTATAAATGTAAGCAGTAAACAACAAAACAACAACGCAAATTTTATAAGACTGTGAGCTGAAACCAACGTCAAATTTACGCTTTAGCGTGTCGCAGAATGAATTGTTGAATCTTCTTGATTGATCAAACCAAGTATGAAGAAAAAATATTCAGAAGTTTTGGAAAATAAGAAATGAAATATATTAAACCAAATTATTTGTGCCAATTTTCTATGACACCAACTTTAAGTCCAAGGTTAAAGGGGCAAGGCAAGCTAGTGTCTCAAAATGAATTATTAGAGCTTCATAATGATTACACGGATAAAGTCCATCAAACGTTTTTAAAGTATCAAGTGAAATAACTGTAACGAAAACCTTCACGCCGAATTTGTGTTACCCCACAAAAAGGCGAGCGAGTATGTCGTTGAATGAATTGTCTTAACTTCCTAACGAATGATGTCTAGTCTCATGAGAATATTTAAGTTTTGGAAATATAACCAAATAAAAACTTTATGCAAAATCTAACAAACTGTTGAATTACATTCTTCAGAAAGTGTTATGTCCCGCTGTTCCCACTATCTCTCGATAGACCCTACACAATCAGACTGTTCCGGAGGTCTAATGGTTAGAGCGTCCGCCTCGGATGCCGGAGGTCGAGGGTTCAAACCCCGGCCGAGTCATACCAAAGACTTTAAAAATGGTACTAACTGCTACCTCGCTTGGCGCTCAGCATTAGGAGATTAATATTAGGAATGTTTGGCCAGGTGTCAGGATAATGTGACTGGGTGGACATTATGCCACATGTCTGCGGCATGATGTTCCAGTGCTAGACATCATTATTAGCTGTTACACTGCAGACATCGTAGCGATATGACTGAAAAATTTGAGTCCAACGAATGCATTCTATCGAATTTGGTGCATCGAAATTTGTGCCATTGTAATACTTTCTCGGAATGCAAGCTGATCTGTAGTTATGGATTGAGAAATTGTTGAAAGTAAGAACTAATCTTCAATAACTTTATTCGTCCTACGTCTAAAAATCTCTCAAAGATGCCAAGAGTGGATGACTGACACTACAATAACTTATTCTGTTTGATACGTTATCTGCATCTGTAATGACAATCAATGTAAAAAGTCCTGCTCTCCGCACGTTTTTCCCTTGCACTGTTGACACGATTTTGTGGACAGATTCTCAGATGTGTTTATTCGTGCCTATAAATTGCAGACTAAGTTGACAAGACAAACGAGGATTATTGATTGGCAAATTAAGACAACCAATGATTATCGATCGGTTAATTAAGAAAACTACTGATTATTGATTGGATAATTTATGTAGTCTTCAAAAGTCTTGCCTCATTGCATCTCCTCTCTTTTTTCTGGATCCAATTCACCTTGTGAAAAGACGTTATAGCAGCAATGCGGGAAACTGCCCCAATGGGATGGTGGTGGTGGTGGCGTTGATGGGAAATGGGGGCAACAGTAGTTGTAAGTAGTAAGGGAAAAGGCTGATTCTAGCTCAATGACTCCTATCCCACAGGTAAGCTCTGTCATACAGAGGTGATGAATTTTGTTTAGCAAAGTCATGTCATAGGTAAGAGAAAAAACCCATAAGTTTAGTAAAATTCAAAAATAATTTATTTCCCTAAAATACAAAAGTGAAAATTTAAAAAGAACTTACAGTATTGCGAATTAAATTCCAAATATTCTAAAAAACTTATATCACCAGTTGTAATGAAAATTGTTTATAATCCAGTAGTGTTCGAAATAAATCATTGATGTGTCTGTAGTAATGTACTAATATACCATTAGCCTCAAGTAGGATGATGTCTTCCAATTAATCTTAATAATACAATCTAAGATATCCTTGTCTGGATTTATTATACTTTAAAGTTGATATTCCTGTCCAAGAATACCATATATAAATACTTTGTATTTCTTGTGAATAATAATTTGAATAAATAATTTGACGCAAATCAAATAACGAACGCGAAATAAGACAGATTCTGGCTAAACATGTAAAAACTTTAATGAGTAATTATATAAAGCTGTAAGACAAAATAAGAACTCGGATCAGAGTCAACTTGATTCTAGAAAAATCCAAGCTGTCAGAAATATGTTACTAAACATTATAACAACGAATGTGGTAAACATCTGATACAACCAATTATTCCATGGGAAATACCGATGTCCTAGAACCAGACCCAAATAAAATTGTTTACTTCTCTTGATAATGATCATAATACTTAATCAATACTCAAATAGAAATAGTGACTGTGTATTTTTTGTTTACCAAAATAAAAGTTACTGGTCAGGTATAACATGAAGTTGATTTTTGGACAAAAGTCAGTTACAAACCGCAATATAATATTAACACAAAACAATGGGAACAAAATATAACAAATTCAAATTAAATATCAAATTATGTCCTCAGCGCTAAAACACACGTAAAGCTAAAATCATGAACTAGTGTCTTCGTTTCTTTTCACAAATTTATCTATTTCATTTGACTGCTTCCATTCAGTGCTTTTAATTAGAAAGATATCAAATATTAGGTAATTTATCGGTGATCATCACTGTATATTGTATAGATTGAAAACAAAGGTTTAAAAACCGAATTTTATGATACTGAATTAATTCATTTTACAGTTTTTTAAATATTTTTCTAGATACAAAATCCCAGAAATTGGAAGTAAAAGTTTCGTTGACATCAAGGTCAAGGTATACTGGTGCTCTGTCATTGAGGGTCGGCCCTAGCTGAGCTCGAACTTCCAAAATGGTGAAGAGTTTGGTTTATTGGCTCCCTTCATGAGCTTTTATGATTAAGCCGGTTTAAGGTTCCATGATACCACACATATAAATTATTCGGTAGCTAATATGATGGTGAGCATTCATGGTAAAGTTAGATATATTGCAGGTATTCTATGGAAGCAAAATGCTTCAACCAAAAACTGGTCTGATAAAATTAATCAAGATATATAACATTATTGAAAATAAAAGACCTACAAAATTTTCTTTTGTTATGTAAATTATTTGTGTATGTGTTCGTGCGTATGTGTTCGTGCGTGTGTGTGCGTTTAAATATTAATTTCAAATTCAAATTTACATAGAAATTCGCCTACACAGATGTCTTGGACACTCGAATAAATGAACATTCTTTAAGTTGTTATTGCGTTTCATTGGTCTTTTTAAACTGCATTCATAAAATTTCCGTTGTGTCTTAAGTGAGCTTTAAAAGCTTAAATAAACAATGAAAAAATAAACAAAGTCGAAAGGAACAATAATGGAAATTTAGGATTCTTCATTATTCGTGAAAACAGACAAACCCCACAAAAAATATTTAAATTTTACACCAGCTTAAATAGCATGAACTTAAAGTTAATTTGTTTTGCTCTTTGTTTTTCTTGGTTGTATTTTATATATTAATTTTTGGTTTGTTCTTAGACTTTAACTTCTATCTTTCAGTATTACAAGCATGTAACAATTATAAATATGATAATCTCTAGTACATACAGCAAGGAAATATTTGTGATTTTTTTTTAATATTGAGACTTTTCGGAATATCACCATGGAATGCACTTTGATTGGCCCTCCACAGCAAATGAATCAACACGTATTCCTTGTCAGTTTTTCATTGGTTTTTAAATCATGAACATAAGACATTTCCGGTAAAATACAGGATCAGGACATAATTTTGTTCTCCTCTTTAGCTGCCTTGGTATAAATATCATCCAAATCCAGCTTGATGTGAACCCATTTATTGCGGATTTTCCATTTCTTAAATGTTGGCATTTCTTTCTTGCGGACTATTTTAGAACTTTTTGTATCCAGTTTCTTAGCGTCCTTCTGATATTTACAGTCATAAAATTCTTGTAAGGATGTACTGAAATTTAAATAATAAATAATAATAATAATAATAATAATAATAATAATAATAATAATAATAATATCTAATAATAATTAATAATAATAATAATAATAATAATAATAATAATAATAATAATAATAATAATAATAATAATAATAATGATGATGATGATGATGATGATGATGATGATGATGATGATGATGATTATGATAATAATAATAATAATAATAATAATAATAAATAATAATAATAATAATAATAATAATAATAATAATAATAATAATATAATAATAATAATAATAATAATAATATCAACAACAGCAACGATAAACTGTACTATTAACAGTAGAAGGAGGGGGAGAAATAGAAACTTTTTTAACAGGGATCTAACATCCCTGACTGATTTAAAGACTTATAAAAATATGAAGCAGCTAAGAATTTTTCAAAAAGTAATCACCCAGAATAGTTATTGCAAATTTTATATCTATTTAAGTCATACTTTACAAAAAAAGATACATTTATATGGCACACAATATTTATTTATGTGTGTCCTTACGCAGCAGGGAGGGTGAAGAGACAATTTTATGAGGGTTTATTTGTGAAATAAAGCTTCCTACGAAAATGAACAGACAAGTGTCAATAACGCTAAACCGAGACCTATAACCTGGTTGAACTAAACCGAGGATTCTAACAGGGTTAGAGCAGTTTTGTCAATTTTGCTTTTTGATGTTTTTATTTTCAAATTTTTATGCGTCCTCGTTTACCAACCTGTAAAACATCCGATGGTTGTCACACTTTCTGTTACTGTGCAACTTGACATTCAAATGTGTAAAAATGGGTCAAATTTTTATTGAGACCTATGCGATATCGCGACCGAGCAACATGTAAATTTATTGTGATAAATCCATGAGGAATCCCTTGGGCTTTTGAGAAGAAGTTTTTAAACTTAATCATATCCATGTCCCCTGAACACCAAGTCTGATTGATGTTTCTTAGTGTGTGGGTATCAACACCATTGGAGACAACCAGAAGATTGCAGTCATCTCTGATCCCTTTAGGTGTTTTTGTATATCTCTGAGTAACATACGTAACATCGGTGTTTTTTTTGTGTCTGCCTCGTGAAAATATCCTTTTTGGATTTGATTATTTGTCTACCATTACATCATCGTATCCTAAGATATTGTTAATGTTCCCCCTTGAGATCATCTACCAACGGCGCATCGCTGATGCTTGTGATAAAATTAATATCATTGCGGTCCTCGTCCAACAACTTTGTATTTTCATTAAAATCTTCAAACACGTAGTAGCAACGCTGATCATCTATAGATGGTGTCACTAAATACAACGTATCCCACTTGAGCTATCTCGTCAATAGGTTAGTAACTGTTAGTCTGACCAGAAACAGATGGACCTATGATAATTGCTCTGATAGAATTCGGTAACCTTGGATGATGCTTGATTGGCTCTTTCTTTCATGTAGCTGAAAAATCAATGATATTATATGTTGTAGGAATATATAATAATTATATGGATTTATATTGTGTTCTCTTTAGGGCACACCCACCCATCAGTGGATTAAAAGCAATAACGAAGAGGAATGGGTGAAATGTACCAAAAATTACAAATGTATCTCTCATGAAAAAGGCGGAGATATCACTGCTTTACTGGTAACATTATCCGGGCTCCATGAGCGAGAAGTATCTTCCTGGATATAATTATTGTGGTCCTATTACCGACTTGATATCCGACTTCACGAGAAAGACCAATCAAGATCTGGAGAGTATCCATAAAATGGTATTGATCAAGCGTGCCACG